AAGGCCTTCGTAAGCAGAATAAGAAATGATATCCAAAAAACTTACTTAATGAGGAAAAGGAGAATAAAAGACTAGTTACTACCAGTATGGGATACTGAGGTCGCACCTAAAGCGGGTAAAAATACCTCAACAAGAAATCCTCCGTGTCAAGGGGGTAACCGTCATAAACTCACGTTTGGCACCTCCCATAATCAGTCACTTTCCTTTCTGGACATATTAGTAAGTAAATATCTTGGATACCACTTCAGTAAGGGAAATAGGCAATTGATAGAGACCGTGGCATGTCAGATATTAAATTTAAGACTATGGCTATCAGTACATACACCACAATAAGGCATGTTATAGATCATCTTCAATCCAGCTTGAATTTACATCATCTTCATGTTCCGATAGAGTATCCTGCATAGAGCGGAACTTTTCACGTAGCGCATTCGCTAGGTAGTTGCCCTACAACAGAATACACAAAGAATGAGAACCAATTTGTGGAAATTAAAAAGAAGAAACCAGCAACAAAAAGACAGTCATACCTCGTCATTAGATAGCCTCGATTGTCGGACTACGGGTGTTCCGCCTGGAGATCTAAAATATTCATCAATAAAATATTCAAAACAAGATAATGACATTTTAACAGATCTAAAGAAGCTTTGAGGCGACAGGTGTGAGATTTCCCAATTCTTCCTGGGAACAGACTGTAGTGTTCAAGTGCACACCCACAGTAGTTTTACTGCTTCCCAAACATCAGCCGATGTGTGCAAAGCCGACTCAAACTTATTGTTAGCTCAAAGCTCCAAAACAGCTGAGCGATGACGGAGGTGACTGTCTCTCTTGAATTCACACTCATGAAGTTTTCATTTATACTTTTGGGAGCTTATTTTGCTTTTTGTAGCTTGGGAGAGGGTTGACGTGTACCAATTAACCCTTTCACGACAATGGCACCCAACGATGGATGCCACTCCGTCCGCCGTGTGGGACAACAGCACTCATGGTAGGTGGTAACTAGCATTTCTACCTTGCGCATTAGCACATTGACGATACGTATGTCCCGCACTTTCGCTCGGATTAGGCTAGTTCTACTCAATTTACCCCTCCATTTTCACTTTTCAGCGTGGTCCATCTGCATTATCGGCCGTAGAAAATACACTTTTTTATAAGTGGTGAAATTATCAGTGAATTAATTACTATTGATGAGAATTTCTAGAAAATCATAGGTATACGCGCACTAAAAGGTGGTTAGTAACGTGTTAAAAATATTTTTTAACATTCTAGTAATTACTGAAAAGCTACATAATATCTATGTCGAGCATGGTTAGAAGATGTGTTTGGTAGGGGCTGACTTACTCAAGATTTCAGACTATGGCATTTAGTTGGGCAATATATTAACTGGACTTGCATTACTAGAGTGAAGATTAATTCTGGTCAGGACTTTTGCGTTTTCTCAAGGGAGCGTACAACAGAATCGCATTGTAGCACTGAGCACTCAAGCATTTAAGACCACGGCGAACCTTCTGCAAAGGAAGGGGAGGACTGGGTTTAGCGTCCCCTTGAAATTCAATGGAATGACGCTCAACTCGTCCACTACAGTTGCGGCTCCGCGGCCGCGACCACAAGCGCGGGGGACGATTCTGTTGCTACGCGGCCGTTTTCTCATGGTCTTCAAACACAAGGAGGTGTTCAGACTATATCAAAACTTCAATTGTAACATATGATCTTCTAGTTTAACCCTCTAACCGCCTTTTGGAGATCCGAGTTCTCCTTCAAACGATCTATTCACTTTCGCCACAATGTATAGTAATACAAAGTTAGAAGCGCTGCCGTTCATTTTGTATTTGCGTAAGTAAAATTCGATAGAAAAGCTGCTTCCAGGTACCATTTTGCCGTGTTGAGCGAGAGTTAGGCGCTCTAAAAAGAGAAGTGGTCCCACCAGAACACTATGTGCAAATCCGCATTGTCGTCAAAGGGTTTACCAACAGCGAAGGATAACAAATTGACTTGTACAATTCGTGCTATCATTCAGTGGCACCTTTTGCCGCCCAAATCAATACATATTCGCACCCATCGTCTAAAGAGCACATTTGAAAAATACGCGAACTGGAGAGTATGCTAAACGTTAGTGCTTTCATAGTCTGCGGTCCGTGCCGTCCGCGCCGTCCGTGCGGACGGCTCGGACAGGGTGAAAAACGTCAACACGCGCTCCGGCGCACAATGCGCACTTGGCGCGCAGTCGGCGCCTCCCTCGATCGATAATGCTGATTTCGACATTTTTTTCTGTATTTTGACGTTTTGTGCGCCGTTTTGCTTTTTCTTGCGGTTGCTTAGCCCAAAACTTTTCCTTTTTTGTATGGATTACTGCTTTTGCTCACTAATGAACCCACTTGGTGTTTATTGCTACTTTCAAACACAGTGTATGAACCTAACCATTCTAGGACAGTTGAAAAGCAGTGATTCACACAAAAAGAAAATATGTTCTCGCCAAAAAAAACAAGCAAAAGCCAGTCGACGCCTTCCAGTTTATAAATGCGATTTCATCACATTCTATTTGTGTTTTCCTGGTGCTCCTTGTGCCGTGTTGCTTCTCGTGTTTTTTTTGGCGAGAACCTTTTTTCTTTTTTGTGTGAATCACTTGCTTTTCAACTGTCCTAGAATGGTTAGGTTCATACACTGTGTTTGAAAGTGGCAATAAGCACCAAGTGGGTTCATTAGTGAGCAAAAGCAGTAATCCATACAAAAAAGAAAAGTTTTGGGCTAAGCAACCGCAAGAAAAAGCAAAACGGCGCACAAAACGTCAAAATACAGAAAAAATGTGTCGAAATCAGCATTATCGATCGAGGGAGGCGCCGACTGCGCGCCAAGTGCGCATTGTGCGCCGGAGCGCGTGTTGACGTTTTTCACCCTGTCCGAGCCGTCCGCACGGACGGCGCGGACGCAGACTATGCAAGCAGCTAATAAATGCAATTGTGTGAATAAATAGACAATCCATGAGATGTTAATTATAATCTCTGGATTAAAACTTGCCTGACGGTATCGGTCTTCCTTAGCTGTACTGTCAAAAGCTCAGTAGCACTTGGTCGAACAGGAAGGGTGTCATGTTCAACTTTCGTCGACTTATTCAACATTTGCAGCACGGTTCGCTAAAACAACTTGGATTCGAAACTGCTATGTCCGTTCTGATGACATGGATTACCGAAACTTCTAAAGCTCCAAAAAGGTACTTTATAAAGCACGGTACACAACTCTACTTATATCCACGTGAAGTCCGTTACATTTTGTCTGCGCTTCGCAATTATTCAATAAAGAACAGACAACTACCAATACATTCGTTCAACACTCAAAGATAAACTTGATTAGGTTACACATAGATATCGCCGCGAGCTGAAAGAAATCAAGAAGCATATTAGACATTGGAAATAAGACAGAGATCATGAATCAAGCAATGCAACGGCCCTTATAGGCATTAACCCGTTGCAACTCAGAAATTTACAGTAGCGTGGTACAAGCAAGAAATAGTCTTACCTGGAGGAAGGCGTATTCGCTCTACTGACCGAAGTCGTGCTCGTCGACAACAACGATGGGGGAGGTGGTGGTGGCGGCGGCGGGGGAACTCCTGATCTTGATGGAGCTATGCCGCCGCGACTTCCAGCGGGGAAGGACACCTAGAAGACATTATCGACATTGACGGACAACTAAGCCAGCATATTTGTGAAGGAAATTCACTAAAACACTCACCGTATCAGTTGGACTGCACAACGACGCTCCTTTGCCCTCATCATCCGAAAGAAGCGGAGACGAATCGGACGATTCCGCGGGCTGAATAATAATGGAAAAATAGACCATTGAACAAATCGTGAGAAAAAAAAAACTGAAAATAACAAACCGCGACAGGAGGCGGTACCTTTCCCGCCAACAGTGTTTGCATTTGCTTCGACAGTAACGCGAGCTGTGCCTCTAACGATTGTATCTGAAATTGTAAATTCACTAGGGATATTCCACTTTCCATTTCCACTATTAAATAAGAAAGGACCTGTGTCAACATACTTTCAATTCTTGGTCAGTCGCCATAGTACTCGGTAAAGAGAATCGCTCGTCTTCATCTTCCGTGGGAACAGCCATTTTCATTGGACAGTTAAATAACTGCAAATGAGTTTGGATCTATTCCGAAATATCGCATCGAATCACCTTTAGAAATGGTACCCAATTAATAATCAATTACCTGAAAATCTTTCAAATCTGATTCACTGTCGTGTTGTGACAATACCGGTGACGGTAGTCGATCCCAAGCTGGTGAACGAATTGTGTAAGCGTGAACCACACCTACATCCAGGAACAGTTAGCATGGACTTGGAAGATAATGACAGAGTAAAATGTGGATTTTTATGAATTAGAAGACAAGTTCCGCATCTATAAGTAGAACAGATCTACCCGTACAAAAACCGAAGGTGGTGGGGTTCTAATTTGGAGCCTAAAATAAACAAAGGCGCAAGGAACCGCACACCATATACATACCGTCTTCAACTTCTTCGTCAGTTGTGAGCACAATTGCAATGTCATTAAACGTGTACTTTGGTGGCTTCCATCGGGATCGTAATGGAACCTGAACCTTCAGCCCTTTACATCGAAGAATTCAAATTGTTGAAGAGCAACTACATGTTGTAAGAGAGCAAGCTCACCTCATTGAGAATCATGGCTTCATCGCTGTTCAATGCCGGCCCATCCTCGGGAAGATGTTTGAACCTCCTAGAAGCGTTAAAAATATGATGAACGTAGAAAAACGAAAGGTAACTCATATACTAACGATTCTGAAAGTGCTGCAAATAATTGGGCAATCCTTCGACAGTCTATTCGCATCGATTCGACGCAGAAACGCCGAATTCGATGGCCACAGTCACGCAGGAATAGTCGCTGAAAAAAAGAATCTACTAAATAGTTGAAGATACTATTCGGTTGACTACAAATTTATCTGCAAAAATATCCCACCCCCCGCTACGAATCGAAGATTTTTGACA